TGGGAATATGTGAGGTGGACCTTGTGAGGGACCACACCAAACTATTGCCTGTTGTTGTTATACTGTCATTTGCGACAGTTTTCTATACTGTGACCGATACTTTTACAGTATCGATAATAGTCCTAAAATTATTGGAGTGGTAATTGGGTTGAAATAGTAGATTACTACGGCGAGGCGGTGACCTTCTATCATTGTATATATATTGGGATTGTGATGGTTGAGGTCTTTTCCCTAGAGAGAAGCTAGAAAGGATTTTCTCTTCGGCTACCGCAAAGTTAACGGCTGAATTTAAAGAGTCAGGGTCACGACACCTGACTATTTGGGATAATCACGGATGGAGTCCTATGACGAATGTGTGGAGGGCTAGATCCTCCATAGCGGCTACGCGACCTGATAGTTCCGTTTTCCTTTTTGTTGGAATAGAAATATTTATTTCCGTCAATAATTTAGCCAGACATGTTTCTATCCTTAAGCCAAATTGGTTACTTGATTCTGTCAAACCCTGCTTGCAGTCCTGTAGGTCCGACAAGAGATGGGAGTAGTGCTTTCTTTCGCCGAATTGTTGTTTCAAAAATTCTAAAAATTGTTCAAAAGATTCGAATTTCTTAATACTGCACGTTGTTTCAGCCCTACCTTCTAGTTGTCGTTGATGTCAATGTCAATGAACAAAAAAATGTTGGTTAAGACGTAGAATCTAGGTATAAATAACTTATGATAATTAATAAAAACTCAGCATATAATGTGGGTAGCCTATTTGTTTTGTTTTTTCCTTTCTTTCTTTTTAATAATTAAATAATTTAAAAATCCTTATACGAGTTGTGTGTTTTTTTACCTTAGTTATTATTGTATTTTTTCACCACCACCACTTCTTGCCTGGCACGCGTAACAAAGGTAGGTGTACACTCTAAGTTTAGGCTTACAAGGTGGTTCGAGATGAGAAAACCATAAAGTAACTGTGTGGTGAGCACTAGCATCATAACCCACCACAACTTCAGCGTTGTGTTTTCTAGCGAATTCCGCCACTCACTCTAACTCGATGGTAGGATCTGAATTCTTTCCAGAAAGACAGGCTGAGCAAATGATTACTCTGGCTTCTGTGCATCCATTATGAAGGCTATAAAAAGATCATCATCGCAGTACTCTGGAACAGCTAAAAGTTCAATATTTTTATTGTAAATTATACAAACTCTGGGTCTACTGCCTTTAGTGTTGACAAGAATCTTACCGGCAGCCGACAATTCCAGAACTTGACCGATGGCCACCTAAGACTCTTGTATGAGGGCGAGGTCAACGTTGTCCTCTGCAAAGCAAAGCTTCACCACGGCAAAAGCAGCTGATGCATGGTAAAGATTTGCCTGGAGGACCCTCGTCTTACCCTTGGCGTTAGCCATTTATGGCCATGGGGGGGGGCAGGGGTCTTTTCCACCTGTTGAGGACGAAGATGTCCTTTACCGGCGTTCTTGACCCCGCTTTACCTTTCGCTGTACTACTCCCACCTTCCATCCCCCACTCCTGGACGACACCAGCGGAGGCCGTCGAACCGAGGTGAAATCAGCGCCTTGGGTCTTCGTCACTCTGACTGATGGCGTTCCGGTCTCACCCCGAGAGGTGAAGAGCTGGGGGGATCAGAGTTGGGGCGGTCCAGGCTCCATTGCCGCGTCAAAGCCTCCCTTGACTTTAAAAGTTATCATTTTAAAGCCAAGGCCGACTCTGCCGCCTGCCTTCTGAAGAGCCTCCGCTGATGAGTCGTCCAGAGAAAAGCTTACTAGGAACCCATTCTCCTCGTCCCTACGGTGGAGGATTCTCCAGAGCTCGGTGTGGAGCCCCTCTTTTTGTGCCCTCAACAGCACAACCGCCTTCTCTGGAGAGTCAGCTTTGCTGCGGGGCAAATATTAAATGCCCAGCTGAGGCTTAGGCAGTTCGCCCTTGGGTATTATCGAGAGCTCTGCCTCCGGCCAGGGTTTCAGCTTTCAGATTTCACCCACAATCTAGTCCTGGTTTGCCTTATTCAGGCACGTTACCAGAATCCAACCTGGCTTGTGAGTAAAATCCGAAAATTTTGATCTCATTCCCGGCTGCGCCCTACAGGCCGTCTTAGCGATGGCCTATGTTAGTGCCTGGTGGACCAGCCGCATCTGCTCCACACTCATAGGATTCGAATTGCGAATTCTTACATACGCGGAGCAAGCTACGGCACTAAAGCTGAGCTTCTTCTTCCCCATTGCCAGCTTCACAGACTTCCTTGGCTGGTCTTTGAGGGACTCTTCCTCAGACTGACTGGGTTTTTTCGCCTTCGGAACTGGGGCGTAGTGTTGCAGGGTGTTGGTGAGGCTAAAAGAGCCTCTTCCAAACATATATATAGTTCCATTAGTGGAGATTTTTTATTGTTCTTGGCAAAATGTCGATTTTCGTCCATTTTGGTCCCACGATTAACTAGGAAAATATTCGGTCAACTCTGACAGAGCCCCGCATGCCGAGGGAAGGGCTAAAATACTACCCGAATCGCCCTGGTCTCGATAGGCACCGTTTGCGACTGGACTCCCTCCAGCCAAGCATCCATCGCCACGGTACGCTTGACACCTTGGATTGGGTTAGGATAGGAAAAATGGGGTGGGATAAAAGAGAATAAGAAGAGGATCGTCTGAGTGTTTCTGTTCTGTCTGTTTCCTATTGAACCAGACCAAATAACAGACGGCAACCACGTGAAAGAAAAACTCTACAGACGTTTCGTCGACGTTTTTACGCGGGTTTGCTCGACGAATTAAATGACGCTTTCGCTCATTTCTGCAGCTGCTGTCTGGATTTTAGTTCTCAATTGGACAATAGTTTTATCTTGATCTTCCTTAATTTCTTAGGATGAAGCCCAATGGATGCAAAATGTTTAGTGTGTCATTCTAATTATGTAATTATTTATTGAACTTAGTGTTGAAATAAGTACAAATAATTATTTTAATTGTTGCGCGGTAATCGATTATTAACCGATGTCGGATTATATTTACTACCGGTAGCATAATAGTATATAGTATTTGAGGCTGTACACACTTTTCATAAAACGCTTGTAACTTGGGTAACATATTCAAAATTGCTCGTCTTTTTAGATTTTTTTGTACTTAATATAATATATAACCTAGGCCCTTCCTATGGCAAGTATGTAAACATTTTTATCCTCCATTATTATTTCTCCAGAGATAGGATATTTTTTTTACGTTTAGTTACACATTGATACTTGTATTTATTTTTCCCCATTCCGACTGGTAAGAAAGCTCAGCTATAATCAAAATAACTATAATGAGTTAACTATCTGGTATAATAATAATGCGCGAAAATTTTACTAATTAAAATATACTGTACGAAAGTAAATACTTACAACGTTCAAAACCTGCGGTCGTAGTTAACGATGCAATCCTATACGGCAATCAACGCACACTACGATAGTATCGAAACGACGCAGCGCGCGAAAACAACTGACGCAGGTCCAACCTCGACAAACGTTCGCGCGATATTTAATTTAGTTAATATTAAATTAGTTAAGTCAATGACAAATTAGTAAATAATCAACTTACCGATGAAATGTTACGCCTTTATTAGTTGAATTACAACTGATTATGCTGCAGTTCACCATTATAAATTTATAATAACATAAATTCACGTACGACGTTAACCGCGCAACTAGATCACAAAATGGTGAATGATGTTCGTCAACACATCATAGCGGCGACAAGGTCACGCGTCTGTGCGACTTCTTTATATTTTTTAAACAATTCCTATTGTCTTATCATTATTATTTCTGTGGGTTTTACATGTCGATATGAACATTTAATATCAGTTATGTTTATGTAACTAATATAAAAAAAGTTTACGCCAATGTCTAATAGCGTCACTCTTGCAAATTCGGCTGTTCATACCCGTGCTTACTGTTCATACTCGCTAACGCGCGTTCTATAACTTGCTTTTGTAAACTCTAAGAAATTTCCGAACTATGTATTCTTTGATTAAAACTTTATGGACTACCAAAAACTTCTATGTATAATACTAGACCGGCAATTAAGAAAAACTATCACAGCTTATATAATATAAATTAAACAATTATAATAATTTAAAATAATAATAATAATAATAACCCCCTCGGGGACCACCTTGACGTGGTGGGGGGGCTTAAGGGAGGCATGAACCTAACAGCGGTCACTACGAACTTGACCATACCCTGTATAATTACCGATACAGGAGGTACATTTTATTAACCACTAACACCTTTGCTAACCCTCCCCAACTAACGGTCCCACACCCAAACCCAAATGGAGAATAATTATGGTATTAACAAGAAGTAAACGGCCCCAAGTGCTCGGCGGACCCAGTAGCAGCACTGGTTATGACGGAAGCCAGCCTGAGACTGGGCCTAGGGGTGCGAAGAATCCCCGAGTGACGAAAGCAACCCGTCGAACGACCCAAGCGACATATACGGACATCGGAGGTGCTAAGCGATATAATCTCATCGACACCCTCACCTTTTCATTCATTCGAGTCATCTACTTCATCTCCACGTTCATACCAGACTTCAACGAGATCAGAATCTGTATCACCCATGTCTGAGGACGTTGTGCAGGAGGCTGTCGCCACTGAACCTGCACCCGCCCCAGACAGAAATCGTGCGCGCAAAAGATGGACAGAAGAAATGAATAAATTCATCTGGCGCACGTACCTTATAGCCACTAAATTAAATACTAACAAAATATACCTCGATCATCTACATAAAGAATTCTCTAATAAATATCCGCAGATGCAGGCATCAAGACAAAGGTTGGGAGATCAATGCAGAGCTATATTCAGAAATAAATTACTTCCCCAAAAAATATTAGATCATATAAGGAACGAAGTTGCAGTATACTTACAACAAACACACAGTAATACCAATCATATACTTACAAACCGACTCGATCACGCAATCACACACGCAACCAAATTTTAGCAATCAGCAAGGCTTGACACAAAGAAGACGATGGATGGCTGACCAAAACGAATCTATTGTGAGAAATTACTATAAAATCACCAAACTAGGAGAAAATAAATCAGCTTACCGTAGACCCCTCCATCAAGCAGTCATAGAAGAACACCCTGAGTTAACAGGCGTAAGTGAACAACGAATATCAGATCAGCTCAGAGTAATATTGAACAATAAAATGATTAATGACCAAAGACTTCAAAAGATACGTGAAAATATAGCAAGCAACCTGAATTCCCGACGAGACAATATGGAAAATAATTCATCACTTTCATCACCCGAAAGAGAAAACTCACAAGAAGTCACATTCATCCATTCATTATAGAAAGTAACACTCCCGTGCATACACTTAACTTAACCTTACAACCTCAACCTGACGAATCAGTGATATCCACTCAAGCCTCTGAACCTCAAAAAAACCAAGCAATAGAAAATAATGACGCGAAAAAAATCCAGGAACTGTTTAGAATAGCAATAGACAAATTTCGGAATACCAACCCAACTAAACGACCTTATATACCAAAACAAAAAACTTCTAAAAGGCTGGCACAAATTGTAGATTTTATAAACACTAAAATATTACCAAATCACATATCGAGAGAGCATGATTTTGAGACCACTCAGACCATAATTTACTGCGTGGCGTACACAGTAGCTATAATTAACGGAACCAAAATCAGAGACATAAACACAACACCTAGCCAAAGTCGAAATAAAGAACCTGCTTGGCAGAAAAGGTTAAAAAGAAAGATATTGGATTTCAGAAGAGACATTGGAAGGCTAACAGAATATACCAAAGGCTATAGAAGCAATAGACTCACTTCAGTAGAAGCAATAAAAAATAAAAACCGAATACATTCCCAGCACGAAGAACCCAATTTAAGCGATGATCAATTCCTTGACACACTTAAACAAAAACTGAATGCGGCATCCAGCAGATTAAAAAGATACCTTAATTGCACACTTAGGAAGTCACAAAATAGCCAGTTTATCAATAATGAAAAACAATTTTATAGGAGCCTGACTTCAACACACAACACGACACACATAGAAATAGGCAAGATGCACCATTACCAGCCGCCAATGAATTACATAGCTTCTGGTCTGGTATTTGGTCTATACCGGTTCACCACAACACTGAGGCAGAATGGCTGAAATCAGATTCCGAAGTAACTGATTCCATCACACCAATGGCATTTGAACAAATACCTCTGGAAGTATTTGTGCATATATTAAAAAAACCATAGCTGGAAAGCACCCGGAAGTGACCGTATACATAACTACTGGTATAAGAAACTTTCAACAATTCACCCTCTACTTCATAACCATATCAATGATTTTATACAAAAGCCAGACATAATGCCCCGATACATTACACAAGGCCTCACATACATGATTCCGAAAGACGCAGATCATCAAAATCCTGCCAAATTCAGACCTATCACATGCCTCCAAACCATTTATAAACTACTTACAGCATGTATAGCCGAACTCTTACATCAACATATAGCTACAAACAACATCCTTACTGAAGAACAAAAAGGATGTCGAAAAAGTAGTCAGGGGTGTAAAGAGCAACTCATAATAGACTCCGTAGCAATGAAACACGCTATTTCTAAAAGGAAGAACATCAATACAATGTATATAGACTACCGAAAAGCATTCGACTCCGTACCGCACAGCTGGCTCCTACATGTACTTCAACACTATAAAATTCACCCACAACTTATACATTTTCTTGAAAAATCAATGCAGCACTGGACAACTACATTAAAAACCATAGGAACGTCTTGTATAGAAACATCAGAAATTCCAATACGTCGAGGAATCTTCCAAGGGGATGCGCTTAGCCCTGTATGGTTCTGTCTCGCATTAAACCCTCTCTCGCAAATGCTGAACAAAACCAATTATGGTTACTCTATCATCACACCACACAAACACACCTGATGTACATGGATGACATAAAACTATACAGTAACACTACACAGTCATTGCATCGCCTCGCAGACATCACCCACTCTTTCTCAAACGACATTCATATGGAGTTTGGGATTGACAAGTGCAAAACTTTCTCGGTTAAAAATGGAAAATTAACCCCAACAGCTATAGCCTAGTAGCAGGAGACACGATTGAACCTCTAGAACCCCACGCCTCATATAAATACTTAGGTTTCCAACAAGCGCGACAGATCCATCAAAAGGAAACGAAAGAAGGTCTCAAAAAAGAAATTTAAACATCGGCTCAATAGTATATTCCGGTCTCAACTCAACTCCCGCAACATGTCAAAAGCAATCAATAGTTACGCAATCCCCATACTGACATACTCGTTTGGTATAATAAACTGGACTCAAGGTGACCTTATCAATCTGCAACGTATTATAAATACCACTCTAACGACTCACCGCAAGCACCACCCTAGATCATGCGTGCAAAGGATGACTCTTTCAAGATCCGAGGGAGGACGAGGTATAATAGATGTCCTCAACTTGCACAATAAACAAATCAAATCCCTTCGACAATATTTCCATCAACGCTCAGAACACTCACTTCTCCACGAAATAGTAACCTTAGCTGACAAACGCCTCACACCACTTAACCTCGCGGACCGAAACACACAACGCAGTGAACGGATCACTGACGTAAAAGAAGAGATGGCCTCCTGGCAACAAAAGCCCCTACACGGAAGGCACTACCACGACCTGCAGCTGTCACATGTCGACAAAAAAGCGTCGAACGCCTGGCTGAGGCGCGGTGAACTCTTCCCAGAGACGGAGGCATTCATGTTAGCGATCCAGGACCAGGTCATCGATACCCGAAACTTCCAGAGACACATAATACGTGCACCTAACCTCCCCACTGATACTTGCGGACATTGCCACTCTAGCCCCGAAAACATACAACACATAACATCCGCCTGTAGAGCTCTTGCACAAACCGATTATAAGCATCGGCATGACCAGGTTGCCTCCATAATACACCAATATCTTGCCCTTAAATTTAAATTCATACAAAAAATGACACCATATTACAAATATAAGCCGGACACCATATTAGAAAACAATAATTATAGAATCTACTGGGACAGGACCATTATCACAGATAGAACTATTCATTTCAATAGACCCGATATCACAGTGTATGACAAAAATAACAAAACTACTTACCTTATTGACATTGCCATACCGAACACCCATAACATTCAATCCACCATAGCTGAAAAACTTACAAAATATCAAGATTTAGCTATGAACTCAAGCGTCAATGGAGAGCAGAAACCATCCATATAGTCCCAATAGTTATCTCATCTACCGGAGTTATACCTAAAAGCCTACAACGCAGTCTAGATATTTTGCAAGTACCCCAACACACACTTCACACCCTGCAGAAAGCTGTCATTCTCAACACCTGAGGACTCACACGCAAATTCCTCACCACGTCATCCGTCACCTCTGCTTACACCATCACCTAGCACCTGCTCACGCTTGGCTTCGGCCCGTGTGATTAGGTTTTAAGCTACCTCTTTAATAGGGAGAATATAGATATGTACAAAATATAATAATAATAATAATGAATTATCTAAGAATGAATTACGTAAATAAAATAAAAATAATTTGATCATCATTTTATTTTACATTTCTGTCATTTTTTCGCAACTGATTAACAAATACAAATAGCAGAGCGTAATATGGGTAACACATTGCAATCTTAAAATTTTACACTTTATTATCAATCATTATTAATAATTATATTTATTTTAAGGCCTATATAAATACATTGTCATTTACGCTATTAAACATCAAGCAAATGTCAGGCACATTAAGATCAGACTAATGCAATATCTAAGCATAAAATTTTTGAACACCATAATTTATCATTTCATGAATATCTCATGGAAAGAAATAAATGAACATTTAATAACTTTATGATGTAATTCTTAAAAACCAATCTTATTTTAAATAAAGCAATATATTATCATTGATTTCCTTGATCATTATGTTAATAACTTAAGTGATTGGAACGCTATATGTATAAGTCTAGAGATCCATGTGGGTTAAGGAATACTTTAGATAAAACTAATTCATAAGTGGCACGTAAATTAAAAATATATGGTTTAACATTAAATAAAATAATATGATTTTTATTGTTATTTTAATTCATATTTAATTCATATTTTACATAGATAACAAAAACAAGTTTTCGTACAAACTTGTATATATATGTATAATCGTTTTATATTCAGTTAACAATATCATTTTAAACTCATTACTAACGGTTTGCATAATTCTCTAACAAAATAATAAATTATTTATATAATCTTAACTCTCCATTTTAGTCTTAATAAACAATATAATATTATTCTTATCAAAAGTAGTACATAAAAAAGTTGAACTCATAATAAATTAAAGCCAAAAACTCAGGAATATATACTGTATAAAAGTTAAAGTTACAATCTATATATGTCCCACGGCTGGGCACAGGTCCCCTCTCATTTGTGAGAAGGTTTTAGGGCAATATTGTATAATATATTATAATTAGTTATAATAACAAGCTTAAAAACTACTTTTCTTGAACAGGGGACGTGCTAGACGGACATAAGAAAATTTCCTCTGGGTATAGATCGCCACGTAACCGTAGTGCTTTTACTCCGTTCGGGGACGCACGAAACTCCAACTCACCAATTAGTACATCGTCGGCGTAAAATAACCATTCGCCTGATCCTCGGACTATCCTCAACGTAGTCTGAAATTCAGAACATTTAATTTAATTTTCTATAAATGATGCAATATTATGTAGGACTATAAAAGAGTCATTGCCAAGGCAAAGGCAGAGCACATAGGCAGAATTGGCGAGAAACTAGTTCGCCTTCCTTCTGGAACAAGTGCGTTCTGGTCTCTCGACAAGGCTGTCCAGGGGAATTTCTGTCAGCCATCTCTTCCATCTCTGCACAGGGAGGACGACTCACTGGCCCACACCACAAAGGAGAAAGCCGATCTGCCAGGCTCTTTCTTTGCGTCCAACTCGACTTTCGATGACGGGGGAAGTACGCCACCGACCATCCCGCGGTGTGAGTGCTCCATGCCAAAGGTGCGGTTTATACAGCGCTCGGTTCGCAAAGCACCCCTGGACACCCACAAGTCGAGTGGGTCTGACGGTATCCCCCTAATTGTGCTGAAACCGTGTGCTCCGGAGTTGGCACCGGTCTTAAAGCGTCTTTTCCGGTACTCCTACTCTCTAGGCGTAATCCCAAAAACATGGAAGACGGATTACGTCCACGTGATCCTTAAAAAAACGACCGTCCAACTACAGGCCTGTCGCTATCACCTCCTTGTTCTCCAAAACAATGGAATCAATTGTAAATTGCCAGCCTATGAGGTACCTTTAGAATCACCAGCTGATTAGTGATCGCCAATACGGTTTTCGTCGTCGTCGATAAGCTGGTGATCTTCTGATCTACCTGACTCATAGATGGGCAGCGGCAGTAGAGTCTAAGGGGGAGGCATTGGCCGTTAGTTTGGACATTACGAAAGCCTTCGATCGGGTTTGGCACAAAGCGCTTCTTTCGAAGCTCCCTTCCTATGGGCGTCCCGAGAAATTGTGCAATTGGGTCACCAGCTTTCTTGCAGATCGGAGCATCAAGGTCGTTGTAGACGGTGCAAGCTCCGATTACAAGCCTATTAATGCTGGTGTTTCACAATGCTGCGTGCTATAGCCAACGTTGTTTATTCTGCATATCAATGATATGTTGCAAACCCGTAACATTCATAGCTATGCAGATGACAGCACTGGTGATGATCTGTACACCGGCCGTGCTAATATTACTCGGGAAAACATATCCGAGTACCGCGACAAACTTGTGTCTGAAGTCGAGTCTTTGCTGAACAGAGTCTCGGATTGGGGGCGACTAAATCTAGTCTAGTTTAACCCTCAGAAGACACAAGTTTGCGCGTTAAACGCTAAAAAGAACCCGTATCTCCTCAGTTTCAAGGCACTCCCCTTGTTGCCTCAGCCAGTATCGGAATCCTCGGCGTCGACATATCGAGTGACGTGCAGTTTCGTGATCAGTGGAAGAGAAGGCCAATTTGACCTCTAAAAAGCTTGGCGTGCTCAGCAGAGCGGGACAGTATTTCATGCCGGCACACCGCCTGCAACTTTACAATGCGCAGGTTCGGCCGCACATGGAACACTGCTCCTATCTTTGGGCTGGGGCTCCCCAGTGCCAGCTCCTTCCTCTTGAACGCATCCAGCGCAGAGCGCCTCGAATCGTCGACGACCGAGTGCTTTCCGATCGGCTGGATTCACTGGCGCTGCGAAGAGATGTTGCATCTCTTTGCGTAATTTATCGCATCTATCACGGGGAGTGCTCTGAGGAATTGTTTGGATTAAGGATTAATCCCAGTTGCCAAGCTTCATGGACGCACTACGCGGCAAACCTCCCGATACCATCTGGATGCTTGGCGGTCCACCACCGTACGTTTCACTAGGAGTTTTCTTCCACGTACGACCTTTCTGTGGAACCGATATGACTTATGGACCTTCAAGAAAAGATCTTACTCCTTTCTAAAGGGCCGGCAACGCACCTGCAATTCCTCTAGTGTTGCGGTTGTTAATGGGCTGCGGTAGTCACTTAACTCTTCTATATTCTAAAAAATTAAAAGTATTTTAATTTTTTTTAGGATAAGGGTAACAAACGATTACTTAAAACGGTTATTTAAAAAAAATCTCTTTGTTTGATACAATCAACAACGATAAACAAATCAATATTATTCGTACATATTACCACCCCACCTATAAGTTCGGTAAATAGATAAGGGGAATTCCCATCCATTGACATTTCTCGTGTTCGGATACACACTATCGACTTGACGCCAAAAAATTAACGCACAATATTACCCGCATTCAGATACACCCTATAAACTTTACGCACAATATCACTCGTTTGAATTATTATCAAGATAATGATCCCGTGCATTAGTGTAGTGTAAACGAGCGCGCGTGGCGTGTAGCGTGCACTCACGTGCGAGGCGGGCACGAGGCGCGCGGTGCGCTGGCGGCGCTCGGGCCCTCAGGCACCCAGGCGCGCGTTCAGCACCACTAGCTGGCGGCACGGTGCGGTGTGATGTGGTGTATGCGGGCGGTGTAGGTACACTCACGTGCGCAGCGGGCACGAGGCGCGCGGTGCGCTGGCGGCGCTCGGGCCCGCAGGCGCGCTTTCACCACCACCAGCTGGCGGCGCGGTGCGGTGTGGTATATGCGCGGGCGGTGTGGGTACACTCACGTGCGCGGCGGGCACGCGGCGCGCGGTGCGCTGGCGGCGCTCGGGCCCCCAGGCGCCCAAGCACGCGTTCAGCACCACTAGCTGGCGGCGCGGTGCGGTGTGATGTGGTGTATGCGGGCGGTGTGGGTACACTCACGTGCGCGGCGGGCACAAGGCGCGCGGTGCGCTGGCGGCGCTCGGGTCCCCAGGCACCCAAGCATGCGTTCAGCACCACCAGCTGGCGGCCGAGCTGTGCATCCGCGCTCGCTCGCAAGTTCGCGTGCGCCAGGATGTTGGGGCGCGGCCACTCGCGCGCCACGTCCAGCAGGTCCACCGCGAACGAGTGCAGCGTCGGCCGCAGTCTGCACCCCACACGTTTGTTTACATTTTATTTTATTACGTAGTAAAGTCACACTGCAACTATATTTATTATGCTTGAAATATGAAAGGGTCGTCTCGACCGGTGTTCTCTCGACTCGTAAAATAGTAGCTTAATACTGTTGTTATCGTATGCTGAGTGTAGAGAACCGGAAATCCTTTTTATTGATAACGGGGCATTCCATCATATGCATTTTGATTCTTAATTGAAGATACATGTAGATATTAATGGGCAGCATCCACTTAATAATTGATTATTAAAATTGTTATCATGAAAAAGCTGTTACCTATCTCCTGTTTAATTTTCCTTTGTCGCCCTCTTACAACACCTAAGGAATAATATGAGATAGCAGATATTATAGAATAGCCACTTCACGGCAGCATTCTAGGACAGGACAGAATTTATGTTAATTAAGTGGCTTACAATAAGGCAAAGGTTTCTTATATTTACGCGAACACTACACATTGAAATAATACTAGTTTTTACGGGATTTATCGCGTATATTTAACTTTTTAAATACCCGACGTTTCGAGAGCTTTACAGCACCCATGGTCACGGGAAGGACTGAGATGTTCAACGTCCAGATGTCATAGTTAACCGCGGTTACCATAGATTAAAATTTAACTTTTGTTCCGATCTACACAGTATGAACTTATGGTATCATGAAGTCTTGCAGTTGTATGCTTGGATTGGGATTTAATTTTATTTATTATAGGATCCCAAGCAGATGGTAGCACCCAGCCATCTTCTCTATTGAAATTAGGATGTTTTTTGATTTCAATAGCCTCGCGAATCATCCTTGGAAGGAATCGGTGTTCTTTAGCGAGGATATGTGGTCTATCAAATCTGATGTAGTGACGGGGGCGATCCTGTACATGTTCACAGACTGTAGACTTCCCGGAGCGTCGATTCTTCACATCAGCTATATGTTCTTTAACGCGGGTTTTAATTGATCTTTTAGTTTGTCCTATGTAGGAGAGACCACATTCACAATCAAAAAATACAAAATTCTCATAGCCTACGTTAGATGACGTTAAAATAATCTCGTATAAAACAGATGTTAAATGTTAATACCGCCGTAATATTTGAAGTTGACTTAATTGAGGTGTAACTGCGTTCGGCAATTCAGCGGCGACTATGGCGACTACCGCAAATTCTTCATACTACATGGGTGTTACGACCCTCAGTTGCCTCGACAAAAGTCGGTTGGGCTAGGGCCCATAGTAACCCAACTCGACGAGCAACCGAGGTTTCGGGCCCAAATTAGGGGTCGCAATACCGGACCTCTTTTCAAAAACCGGTGTTTTCGGTATTAGTTTTTAATGAATACCGAGATTCCGGTAGTTTCGGTATTTTCGTTTTTTTTTTTTACATAATGAGAAAAATATTTAAAAATATGTAATCTAACCGTAATTTTCATAAGCGAATTGTCACCAGCCAATCAATAAAAGTGTGATATGATAAGAAAATCACATTTGTTTAAAAAATTAATCATTTATTTAAAGTTTAATAAATAACTCACTGCTGCTAAGTTATTTTAAACTATTTAAACATAAGAAACCTCCAGTAATCAACCTTAACAATAACATAAAATACTCCTGCCAAAGATATAAACATCTTTGACTCCTGTTAAGTAACTTCTTCATAGGCTTACTTCTTCATGTTCTTATAAACTTCTTCATTATACTCAGCTTTAATAAAACATAAAATGCTCTTGGGCGATTTATCTTTTTTTTCTTCACTTTTTTCATGGAAATCAAGTAAGAGCTTTCTTTGTTCCATGGTGTAGTTAGAAAGAGTCATATATATTCTTCACTTTACGATCATCTAAAACTTCTATGAACGTTAAAATCTACCACCGGTTTCAAAAGCGATATCTCTAGAGAAGAAGAAAATCTGGTTCATAGGTTAAATTCGATAGCTAAGAATGTTATAAATTTACTTTTAAATGAATTGAAGAAGATTAAATGAAACTAAATTTTACGAATTTTATTGCGTATTTTAATTTATTTTATATTCCCGTCCAGGTGTCATAGTTAAACACGGCTACCTTCAGTTAACAATTATTAGTTTTTGGTCCGATGTACGCAGAATGGGCGTATCTTGAAGTCTTGCAACTGTATGCTTGTTTTGGGATCTAATTTTATAATTTATAGGATCCCAAAAAGATGGTAACACCCAGTCATTCCCTCGTCATAGTAATTTTTTCCATATCATTCCAAAGCAAAGTCATAAGAATCGTGATCTTCCAGTTCTCTTAGTTGAGTTTGAGAACTGTTTTCTTTTTTATAGAGCACGTCTAATATCGCTAACTGTATACCATGAGCAAGGCATCGCTGGTGGAAAAGTGCTGCTTCTCTTCCAAATGCGATTATTACACTAGCACCGTCATTAGTTGTATAGGCGAGCGGGCGGATTCGTCGTCGGCTCAGGACTCGGGAGTAGGTTACTCTCTCTCACTCACTCCAGAGTGTAGTCGCGCGACTTGCGTTGCATAGTCGAGCCGCGTTGCCATAGCATCCACTACACACAATATTATTTAACAAAGATTTATAATGAAATACCGAAAATTCGTAAATACCGGTTTCCGTTCACTCAATTCCGGTATTTTAAAGCTTTCGTTTCAGTTCGGCATCCCGGTATTTTCGAGATTCGGGATCCCGGTTTGCGACCCCTAGCCCAAATGGTCTATGGATAATTAATTTATAATGGCTGGATAAGCAAACACAAACTTACCGAGTTCCGGAGGTAGGGCCGACCACAAGGTACCGTCAGGGGTAAGTAAATGGAAGGTGTGATTGGTGTAGGAAGGTGTGTAATGTAACCTGACGTCACCGATGTAATCGGCTAGCAGAACCACATGCGCTGCCCTGCTCCACAAGGTGCAATCACTACTGTGGGCGTTCACCGTTATCTGAACTCAAGTCTAACGTCACTTAGCACAAACTATAATCGAAGAGAAACGCGATCTCTTCCCGGATCACAAAGTTTAGCGTTCCTCCCGACAAAGCAAAAATTCCTTCGTACGATATTAAAACACTACACAAGCCACTCGTCGACGCAAATTAATGGCAATCGAAGTTACATTAATCACTCAAACTCAAGGAAAGCCTCGTTGTCACGTATACGTACAAAATAAGACAACGCAAGGAGGCCGTCGTAATGCGACGTAACGATTCTTACGTAACTCCCGACCTCTAACCGGCACGGCCGTAGCGGACAAAGGAATATTCTAGACTAAATTGGCACGGCCGCCGCCCGCCGGCTCAGACCGTCAAACCGGTTCCTCGTCCGAGACGAGCGTTCTCGCAAGTTTCAAGTTGTTTACGATTTGGCCTAAACAATGGGATTGTCAGATTAGTCAAGAAGAAAAAATGTGTACCTTCCATAAATAACAACTTGATGTCCTTCAGTTATCCCATTTGACAACTTAGCAATGACGTTGGGTCGCCAAATTGGTTCGTCTTCATTTCGCGAATGGGAGATACTAGGTCTTAGAGGTATCTGTAAAATAAAAATTAAATTAAAGCTTCCATCGAAGCAATGTAATGCAATTATTTTATTATCTATGAAATAGTCTACATACGGAATTCCATTAAATCTATAAATTAAGATAATAACGTCAGCTTAGATAAGTTATGATACGAAAGGGCGTGAGATTAATTTTTCTTACATACACTAATAAAAAGTATAAATAACAAATTTAAAAACAAATCGAGAAGACAATAATTTAAAAAAATAGACTTATGGTTCGTCAGGAAAAACTACCTAAAACCAATTTGGAAGAGATGTCGTACACCGAGAACTCTTGCTCTATGTAAACTATGATTTACATAAGCCACAACCTAATTAACTTGACAAGGCAGAAAGAAGCTTATAGACGATCCCAGGCCCGTCGAGGTTAACACTGGGTATTGGTAAAAATCAAAATTTTTTTTTGTAGATGTTCTTTTAAAAAATAAACATCTTCTTGAAATGGTTGTAGTGACCGATGAAACTATTTCGAATATTCTACATAATCTTTATTCGATATTCTACATTTGTAGGATCAATGATGAATATTTACTTATTTTATTTTTATCAGTGGAAATGAAACTTGGGTGTATCAATATCAGTCTCGGAGAGAGTCTAAGCAAGACTCATTGCAACGGCACAAAAACACCAAATCCCCAAGAAGTTAAAGGTGTCCAAATCACAATCCAATCTATTGGTTGATTACAAACAAAAGCCGTAACCTATAGGAGGGAAGGTTTTGAGGGGCAGCCTCAAACCTCCCACTAGATGGAGTAACGACCTGGTAAGACATGCAGGAAGTTTATGGATGCAGGTGGCTCAGGACAGTGCATTTTGGTATTTCTGGGAGAGGCATATGTTTCAGCAGTGAAATTTAAAAAGAATATCTTACTTCAAAAATTGGCGGTCCAGTAGTAGGATATAAGTCAGTCTTTTGGATTTTCAATACGGCGTCTCTAATACCGGTCACTTGAACCCACGTAGCGTTAAGCGGGGAAGGATTCCTGTGTGTGTAGCTACAGTAGTGTTCACCGTCCACCGCCCACAGTGTTTCTTTCTCGTCTACTAACACTTCGACTGTAAACGGTCGATTTAGTTTGAAAGGAAATAATCTGAAATGAAAGTTCAGTGACTCAGCATATTACTTCATTCGCAGTACATTCAAAATTAATAAATACGTTGTGTAACAAACATGAATAAAATTAAATTCTCGACGTAAATGGTAATCTTCTTATAACAATTCATGGCAATAGTCATTAATTCATGCCTTTTTTTTCTATCGTAAAGATAAAATTCGTTCGTGACACGTATATGTTTACTTTTAACACATACGCGAAAACTATGAGTCACCAAATACATATTTACAATACTTTATTGCTATATCAATTAAAGCAGAACAGACTAGAACAAATAGTAGCTTAATGCTGCTGTGCTTCGTATGATGAGTGTAGAGAACTGGAGACTCTTTTTATTGGAAATGAGGCATTCCATCCAGTGGCGAAGCTTCCATTAAAGCCGAAAAGCCGGGCTTGCCTTATTAAACCTGAATCAATCAATAATATCAATCAATAATATCAACTAATAAAATAACTCGTAAAATGTTTCAAGCTATTTCAAATTTCCCGCGCACTCCACTGTTCGACACATGTCGACCGATGACCTCGTATTGCCTTAGCGATACTGCTGCTGTCATAAAAAATGAGTTTTAATAGAGCTAATAGTTGTCTCCCTCGCTCTCGTGGGCTTTTTACGGGGCTTTCGAGAAGACGATCGCTCTCTTTCTAACCTATAGCAAAATATTCTATAATGAAATATAACTACGATTGTATATATAGCAATTAGTATAGAGATTTAAAGCCAGGCTTTTGGGAATAAATTTGTTAAAAGTGGAGGCGCGCGGGCAATACGTTTGCAAGTTCATTTCACGTTTCAATGTTTATTTACTCTGTGTGCTTATCTTAAGCGATTTAATATTACGAGTTCAAAATTTATGCTTTTTTAAAGATGGGGGTGACAACGCTGCATTTTGATTCATAATTGAGGATAGATGTTGATGTCTATGGGCCACAGCAACCACTTACCATCAGGTGGACTGTGTGTTCATTTGTCACTCTATCCAATAAAAAAAAGACTGTAAGTAATTAATGGTTTAAAAGACCTTTAAATAATTTAAAGAAATTAACAGCATAAGGAATTAATATTATTTATAAATAAGTTAAATATTACAATGTTTAGATAAAATTAATTTCAACCTCTTTTTAATTCCCGACGTTTCTAATGCTTTACCGCCAAAGAGAATATTAATCACTACTTTCATACAAAAAAAACATACAGTCGAATTGCTAACCTCTTCGTTTTGAAGTGGGCTTAAAAGATAACAAAAGTATAATATGAGCAGTTAAATATCTGGACATGTAACTACTAATAGGGTAAGTAACAGTAACTAGTAACAAGTAATCGCTTGGTTCTTCGATATTTTGTGATGTTTTATCTAATTGATCCTACAGTAGCACATTGCACATCCTTAAACGATTATGATAAAGCATAGTGCACGCTGACGTATTTTGGACGCATTTATATATAACAAGGAGCAACGCTACGTATATATTAACAGATTTCAAAAAATCGTCATTTGTGAACCAATTTTGAGAAAAAAACAATTATTATCTGAAGGACAAAGAGAGGGGGAGAAGAATCTTCAAATACGGCGAATTATCACCGGGGCGGCGATCATCTGTGTTAAACAGTTGTCGAATTAATCGTCCACAAGTCTCTCGTAAACAACGTCGTAAATTATGGGAATATATCGACAAGGGTTATGTACCTTGAGGATGTTCCGAAACGTTTTCAGTATACTGCCGAATACATAATATGACGTCATCAATTGACACTATATTGTACTGGCGTGCCGACGCCATATTGCGTCGGACATCCGGCCATGAAAAACAATTTTTAATTGTGTGTGCGCTAAATGATGCTGCATTAAACGCACACACAATTAAAAATTTGTTTTCATTTATACAAATACAAAAAATTATAGAATAATTGCTGGTATCTCCATTAGGAGGATAGTCATTAGACTTTTGGAGCACAAAATGACAAAACAATCGCCAACACTTTTCCAATATAGCGCAAATGTATGACGTCATATACTGTTCTATGTTTTGGAACGAATCACCAGCATAGCGACGATTCATGACGTCATTTGCATTGGACAGTACACTGGGTTCTATTTTGGAACATACCCCCTTATACTCATAATCACCAAACGTACCCACGTACCGTGGCAAATTTATTTTTGGTAAAAAAAATTCACAATACAGAAGTATAAAAAGCTCACCGTGTGGTGACAACTTTATTAATGTTGTATTATCACTATGATTATATATCTCCAAAAATGTTATAGCGATATTTCTTACCTATATGCGGTAGTCTCCTCAGATCCCCATTTGTCGTGTAGTCGCGTGTTTCTCACAACATAGCACTGTGGCAAGCGCACATTGAAGTGCACCGCGATGTCCGCTCGTTTGGACTCCTCATTTCCACATCCAATGTTTATTGCAAACCTGAAGAGGACAGTCGTCATCATTATCATCACGAATGTGCAGAGAGGCTTTTCTGTGATCGTAATTAACATCTCACACCCTGTATATTCAAACATCTGTAACTAAAATACGCGTACAGCGTCAGCAGCGTACTATGGTTGCATCAGGAAAGCATCAGCTCGACTACGGAAGGACCACGCTTTCACAGAATATCAGCATAATGCTGCTGTGGTCTGTATGTTAAGTGACAAGAACTGGACACTCCTTTTTAACTTGTGGCGGCGCTGTCGTCGCGCCACAAGCGAAACATACCGAAGCCTAAATCACGCTATCAACATTCCGAATCATAAACAGCATATATAGAACATCTCCGAACTATCACACGGAGCGTTGGCCGCTTCCCGGGCATAACACCTTGCCCGGCGGGAGATCTCCCCTCTTCCTTCCACGGCCACAGTGGTGACCACCCGACGTGATCTGAACACGCAACCAAACACCTTCGGAAACTACAACTTCAAGCCTTCGTCATTATCCTCAAGAACCCCCTACTATTCACTACTGAGAATCGTCTTCTGCAGTCTTCAGTTCCAGCAAGCCAGCCCAACTTGTCTTCGTCTCGACTCACCGCAGATTTATGACAGACTTCTGGCATTTGCTCCGGCACATCCTTCTCAGCGGCATCACTTGCCAGTGCGTAGTACGGCATGCATTACACATCGGCATATCATTCGCACCGGTGTCACTTGCCCTTACGCACACAGCATGCATTCCCCACCGGCATTAAGGACGCACCGGCAATCGGACTGCACTATCGACCTCTGGTCTGAGCAGGGGGGTGATGTAGCGGCGCTGTCGTCGCGCCGCAAGCGAAACATACCGAAGCCTAAATCACGCTATCAACATTCCGAATCATAAACAGCATATATAGAACATCTCCGAACTATCACACGGAGCGTTGGCCGCTCTCCGGGCATAACACCTTGCCCGGCGGGAGATCTCCCCTTTTCCTTCAACGGCCACAAACTGATAACAAGGCAATCCATCTTAACCCTCATTGGTAACCGCACTTCTACATTTCATTCATTCTTAATCCTAGTATAAATGTATAGCTATGGATACTAGCACGCGTTATGAAATCACAAAGTTTATTATGACCATCTTAAGTTAGTTCACGAGCTATCGACCAACTGTAGTTATTCCAGAAAGTTTTACTTCAGTCGTGTGGTCATAAACACACTCGTTTTTTTCTTATTTCTCAGACATGCAGGTTTCCTCACGATGTATTCCTACACCTCCGAGCACGTGTTAAATCAGAACTTAAAAATTGGAATTAACAATTTCATTGGTGCCGGCGGGGATCGAACCCGGAGTGCTCGCGTACTGTGAAATTTACAGCGAGCGCTAACCGTCTGAGCTACCACGGCTCTTTGCTCCCTGTTCTTAGTTTATATTAATCCTTACCTTGTCTAGTGCTAAATAGCTATGATATAGTTTTATTTGCTAATGACATTTCTTTGATTTTCAAATTTAAAAGGCAATTGTTATTAAAATATGACAACGTGAATAAAGCTATATAAAAATTAGTAAACTGGTTTAACGTCAACAATTAGGTTTTGAGCGTTAATAAAACGAAATGTATTAAATTCACAACACCAAATGTTAAACAGGTGAATACCAGTGTGCTTTAAAGAGAAGAACTCAGTCTTGTTGAATCCAATGTTTTTCTCGGAATTACAGTCGATGCGAAGCTTTAGTGGGGCCCCCAAATATCTAAACTAGCAAACAAACTCAGTTCTGCAGCATCTGCTGTTAAAAATATTAGAAGCCTTACGTGTGTTGAAAAATCTAGATTAGTCTGTTTTAGTTGTTATCATAGCATTGCTATAGGGCACTGCGACTGACATTTAAACTATCTTTGTTTTTGAGACGAGAGCCAAAAGAGCAATTATTTATAACGTTATTACAAAGTTTTTCTCTAAGAGACTATTTTGAGTCTCTTAGAGAAAAACTTTGTCATCTCAGAAAATTTAATATATTTACACAAAAACAAAACTAGTTTTACTGAAAATAGTGATGTACATTCTGTAAATACTAGGAACAGACACAAGCTACCCGACCATAGAGTAATTCCTATTATATACGTTTTTACAAGAAAATATTATGTAGGGCTTATTCATTAAAAAGTTTATAACTTTTATTAAGCAAAAAAATTTTTAAAAAGAGTTATTACTTATTATATTTACTACTAAGAATCACATGATTGATAATAACCCCTAGGCATTAGGTGATCACTATCATGCTATTTCTAAATGTTTTAAAAAATTCCCGCTGAGTTAGGTGTGTGGTGTGGTAAGTGATAAAAGCATAAATGGTTAACACATAAGAATTATATAAAAATTCATATAAATCATTAACGTGCTAGGGTCATACTGCAGCTATATTGTGGTTTTAGCATGAATGGATCGGCTCGACCGGGGAGGACCGCGCTCTCACTAAATATCAGCGTAAAACAGCTGCTCAATGCTGCTGTGTTTCGTATGGTGAGTGTAGAGAACCGGAGACCCTTTTTGCTAGAAACGTTCTATCTTAGTCCTCAGGAGTGGCAACGCATTTATATTTTACTTCTTAATCGAGGATAGATATAGATGTATATGGGTCACAGCATTCACTCACCATCATGTGGTACTGTGTGCTCGTTTGTCACTCTTATTAAATGAAAAAAAAACACATCATCATATATTACATAAAATCCAATTGCTGTCCGTAAGTGTCGCAATAACTCGTAAATGGCTCGACCGATACTGACGATATTTTGTGGGTATTTGAGTAGGTCCCTGGATGGTTTAAAAACTAAATCGGATCACCTGATAGGTGGCGCTGTTGACGTGATGCAAAAATCTGTGCAAAACCGGGGCGGATCGCTAGTATTGAATAAAAATTATTCGACTCTTTTTTATTAATGTAGTCACAAACTTACAGTCCACCTGATAGTGACTACTGCATTCCATGGACACCGGCAGCCGACTTCATGACAAAAAGGATACAGATGCGTTGTCGACCTAATCACTCAGATGGAATGCCTCACCGCCTACAGTAAAGTACCCTTACTAACCCTCTATACCTTCAGACCGAAACACATCAATGCAGAAAATAAAACAAGCAAGTACTCGGCGGCAGAAAAAGGTAAGAGGTTTTAACATCTAGAAAATATTGTTCTATTCTATTCTATACAACACGAGTATTCTAAACATTTCTAAATTCAAAAAAAAAAAATAAAAAAAAATATAAGGGGCAACGCAGCCGTCTTACAGGATATTGTCATAAAGCCTACTCTTGTTTAGGATATAGAAATAAAGGGACGCTGTCAATAAAACCAGAATTTGTTTCTATTTTTGCCAACTCTCAGCTCATTAGCTCGCTAGGATGCAGTTTCAGAGACATAGGTATATCACAACACAATTAGGTATCATTAACTTTTCTATTCCGATTGGGTTTAAATCCAGTGCGCAGGGTGGTAACTAGATAAAATGACTACCAACACCATCATACGATGGTAATTTTTTTCTTTCTTATAGTCCAGTTTTATACAATTTTTAGAGGACCCAAAATTTGATAGTTACTTGTGACCTAAACACAAAAATATAATATAAATATATATTTCAGGTCTTTCTCGGTAGGTAATCCAAGTAGTACGATTATGTCACTAATCGACGTCGACGATAAAGTAATATAAATAAAAAGTATCAAAATTATCGACGTCTAGGTCACAAATTATAAAGGCCGTAGCATTGTTAGCATAGCCATTGTCGCAACCGATTATTTTAATTTGTGCAACAGCCAACAACTTTTAGTTCTTGGACGTTACTGAAATGACCGTGACGTGTTGCCGTAACATGTTTCCAAAAAACCACTCATCCCTAGTTTTTTTTATAGAATATGGTGACAAACGAGCACACAGTCTACCTGATGGAAAGTGGTTGCTATGGCCCATAGAGATTTATATCTATCCTCGATTACGAATCAAAATGCAAATGCGTTGTCACCCGTGAGGACTAAGATGGAATGCCTCGTTTCCAGTAAAAATGTTTTCCGGTTCTTTACACTAACCATACGAAACACAGAAGCATTAAGCTAGTATTCTGTGAGAGCGTGGTTCTTCCCTGGTCGAGCCGAGCCGACCCATTCGTGCTACAACTATACTACTAACGCTACAACTATACTATAACTGCAGCATGGCTCTACCGCTTATAAAATAACTTTTGTCGGTAAAAAGTAAATTAAGAAATCCTAATTAAATAAGAAAAATTAATAGTCCTATACTTTATGTGCACAATTCTTGGTTTCTTATATTTTCAATTTGCTTTTATTGCCCGAAATATTATGCTAACTTAAACATTTAAACGAAGGAAGGCCTACATATAATGTCGGGTAAGGCGAAGAAGCGTAACTCCATTAGACTATTGTAGTTAGGTTGTACCAGTTCTGGCGCACTTGTAGAAAGGTTGTACCAGTTCTGGCGCACGACGTTCGTCGACCCACAATCCTAAAAAAAAAAAAAAAAAAAAAAGGTTTTGGCATGCTCTGATCACGAATCTGCGGTCCATTTTTGCGTAGGATGCACGGTTCCAGAGATGAGCAGATCAATTAACTCTTATCTAATTGATATCCGCTACGAGCCTCAACCGTCATTAGCGCTCCATTGTCCTTATCTACTTATCTATTGTTGATTGACTACCGTCATTATCTATTATTCGTCAGCGTGTGGGTCGGCTTATGCTATTGTATTATACTCCTTTGTTCCTATCTACAACACTAATCTGAATCATCAATAAAACACATTACCTAATTTTGTTAAAATTTTTATTTATGAAATACAAAATCTTATTACTTATTATCTATAAAATAGGAGTGAAACATCTCATCCACTAACATATCGTTGTACAATGTATTCTCTGTAAATATACTCGTAAAACTATGCATTGAACATCCCTGAAACTTATATAGCAAATACATTAAGCAATATTCGCCAAAAACTGAAGTCCTA